ACAGCGGTTATAAATACAACACAATACAAATATACCTCTTTCTAAAGTTACAACATGATTTTCTTTTCTTTTTCTATATTATATGCCAACCATCTCTCTGGTTTTTTTGCAGCAAAATTTCTTTGTCTTACAAGTTCATCTTTAATTCCATCTCTCTCACTGCTAACATAGATAATTGCAGCTGTAAAAGCTTAATTTGGTGAATAGTTGTCAAACCCTGGAGAATTTAAAGATTTTTTTTTCAATCTCACTCAAAATCATTAGTATATTTTCTTCCCTTTTTCTTTTTAAATCTGCTATTGTATTGTATAAAGTGCCCTCTTACAAAAAGCTTTACTTACACCCCAAACCTCTTGACTTTTGTGCTTTTTATTAAGATTATTCTCCAAAAAGATTCTCTTCTTTTTATAATCCTCCATTACCATTTTGCTTTGTAATAATATCTTATTCCATGCAAAAGATCCATAGCTGGACGGCCTACATGTTTAATACATCATCCTCATTGCCCATCATCTCCATGGCGACTTAGCAAGTAAAAAAAAAATTGCAGTTACTTTAATCATAACTGACAACTCTTTGTAGAAATGGAGGGACTTCACAGACTTTGGCTGCCTTTGCTGGTTAACTCCACAATTGTAACTGTCAGCCGGTTGTCCTTCTTTCTCTGGCCCAGGGACAGGCACACTCTGCTGAATCAAGGCATTGTGAGAGCTTTCACAAATGAACACTTAGGCTCCTGTGCCTTTTAGAGGAGGGCTGTCCAACCTTGGCAACTTTAAGACTTGTGGACTTCAACTCCCAGAATTCCCTCCTGTGCCTTCTAGAGCAGCGGTCATCAACTGGTGGTCCGTGGACCACTGGTGGTCTGTGAGAACATGTTGGTGGTCTGCAGAAAAATTATTTGCATTTTTTTTATGTTGCACTAAATCAGGAGTCCTCAAACTACGGCCCCTGAGATGGATACGTGCAATGAAGGCCTGTGTTGCTGCAGGGAGTCTCCCCCTTCGTGGTCTTGTTGTGTGGGTCAGAAATTCCAACGGGGGGGTCTGCTTCAGCCTCCTGGTGTGGGGCTTTGGGTGAAGACTGGAGGGAAGTGCTGGAGGTGGTGAAGAGCCGGAGGACCTGGCTCCAGTAGGACTGCATCATGGCCTGGAACTGGCTGACCATCTCAGCCTACTGAGCCTCCAGGCACCGGCACCTGGCCTCGCAGGTCTTCCCTCTGCTTGGAAAGCCTATGCTTGTAGTCCTCAGTGAGGTGCTTCTGCTGAGCCTCCTTCCAATCCAATTTGAACTGAGCTTTGCCAACTCTTTCTCCTGGTGGCTGCTTAGCTCCAACAACTGCTTCCTAAGGAGGCTGGACAGGCAGGTGAGGAGTGGCTGGGAGAGGAGAGGCGAGTAGAGGCTGGCGAGACACCCCTCTATGAGTGACATCGAGTTAGCCATGCCCACCCAGTCACATGACTACCTAGCCACACCCACCCGCCCAGACGGTCATTAGGCAGATCATATTAATGATCCGTGGGATTTAAAATTATGAATTTAGTGGTCCCTGGGATCCGAAAGGTTGATGGCCCTTCTTCTAGAGCAGGGCTGTCCAACCTTGGCCACTTTAAGACTTGTGGAGTTGAAGTCCACAAGTCTTAAAAGTTGCCAAGGTTGGACAGCCCTGCTCTAGAGAAATGGGATTGTCAGAGAGGGGAGTGTGTGCTGGTTGAGGTTTTTTTTTTAATAAATCTTTTTATTAAAAACATTCTTGAAAAAAAAAACAAACTGTTAAAAGTGTTTAGTTCCCCACCCTCCCCCTCCCCCGCAAGCCCCCCCAACCTTCCCCCTCCCCCCAACTTCCCAGAAT